CTAGGGTGGGGGGCCCAGGAGCCACAGTCGGCTGACAAACATAGTGGACAGGACAAACAAAAACCCCAGGACGAGGCGAGTTTCCCAGGCTGGGTGCTGGTCAGGCCAATAAGGAAGTCAACAAGAGCTGGTTTGGGTGAGGTAGGGAAAACAGTCTAGACGGACAGAGGATCCACAAGCTGTTGGAAATGTGGGTCTAGGATCAAGGCTAGGAATGGAGACTTGAGAGTCGTTCCCATCATTATCACTGTCACCATGAAGCAGTTACCACTTAGTAAGCTCCTGCTCTGTGCTGGGTGCTACATGAAATAATTTAATCCTCACGAGAAGATACAGGGTCAGCAAGATAAGCCCTACTTAATAGGTATGAAAACTGAAAGTCAGAGATGTTAAATTCATCCAAGGCCAATCAGCAGGGATCTGGGGCTGGCCATTCCCCTTATTTGCCACTTGGCTCACCGGCCCATCAAAGTAGAGTGAAGTTAAGAGAATGCACTGGGTCCTCAGAGGGAAGGCAGACAGGGCTGAGAAGGTGTCAACCTGGGGAGCCTGTTTAGAGTGACCCGGAAGGCTCTGCCTGACACAGCTCTCCTCTCAATTCATTGTTAATTATCACCTGTCACGGGCTCCTCTGATGATGTCCAACACAGAAGCTATGGACGACGTCCAGAGTGTACGAGGAAAATTAAAACGTGTGGAGACTGGCAGCGGCACCCATGTGACTCGTAACCAGTGCACGTAGGGGTTTTGTGGCCAGAATACAGGATTAAGGGGTTGTAGGGAGACAGGACAACCAGGATAGACTGAGTAATAAGCACTGGGGAGAGCTGCAGAAAGGAGCGGGGAGGGAGGCTGAGGAGGCCCTTGGGCTGAGTGACAAGCCCCAGATCTGCCTCTTCCCTGCTGATGGGCCTTGGATGAGTTTAACATCTCTCGCCCTTGACTGAGACGGGAGGCAGCGGGAGCCAGAGCACAGGGCTCAGGGCAGGGCTGGGTCAGTATCTGGCATTTGCTCCTGGAGTGAGGCAGAGGCTACTGTTCCTAGAGGTTCAGTGGAAAATGGGAATAAAGGGAACGGGCTAGTGCCCCAGGGGCAGTGGAGTCAGCAGAGTTACGTTGTAGCCTGGGGAGATCTGGGAAGATCTGTGGCCAGGTGCAAAGCTGCAGAGAGAAAGAAGGAAATAGGAGTAAAAAGAGCACCTGTGGGGTGAGCTGAACACACAAAGGAGGCAGGATGGGGAGAGCATCCGCTGTGGGTCAGATTAGGAAGGTTTTTGAGAGTCACAAATATAACTTTGGAATTAATTTGTCCAATACATACTCATTGAAGACCTACTATGTGCTGGGCACTGTCCAAGCGTTGGAGGAGACAGCAGTGACCATAGAGGGCAAAATCTGCCCTCGTGGGGCTTGATGTCTAGTGGAGGATGTGATGGGACAGATTCAAGAATGTAAAATCTGGTTTTCTTTCCTGCTTGGGTGAAGCATAGACATCGCCCAGTAGTAGACGGAGTCTCCTAGGGTTATATCAGCTAGTCTTCTGCCTTCAAGCAGGATGACACCATGCCAAGGGCCCGGACCCCATCACCGTTTTGGGAGCATCTCGAGCAATGGATTTCATACCTTCCCTGTGTTGCCAATAGCATCTCGTGCTGCAGAAAAATGTTCTTGGGCCTGGGGTTTCCCTAGAAGTACAAATAGGCCAGATGAGAAAGAAATGTGAAATCTGGCCGGGTGCAGCGGCTCACACCTGTAATCCCAGCACTTTGGGAGGCCGAGGCGGGCGGATCACCGAGGCGGGCGGATCACCCAGGCGCCAGGAGTTCAAGACCAGCCTGGCCAGCATGGCAGAACCCCGTCTCTACTAAAAAAAAATACAAAAGTTAGCCAGGCACAGTGGCGCACACCTGTAATCTCAGCTACTCTGGAGGCTGAGGCAGGAGAATCGCTTGAACCCAGGAGGCGGAGGTTATGGTGAGCCGAGATTGTGCCACTGCACTCTAGCCTGGGTGACAGAGCGGGACTCCATCTCAAAAAAAAAAAAGAGATGGGAAATCTGTTGGTTTCTCGTGGTGCTTGAGTAAGGTTGACAGAGATTGAGAGAAAAGGAGCCAGTTTAGTGCTCAGTCCCCTTCCTCTCTACGTTTCCCCTGAGGGAGGACTTTCCTGCCTGAGCCAAAGCCAAGTCCCTATTCCAGGCCTCAGGAAATGTGTCCAAGTTCAGCAGGGAGAGTGAGCCAGGCTACAGTATTTCTGCAGGGGCAGGAACAGAACGCCTCAGAGGCAAGTGTCTGTGTCTTTTATGGGTACCTGAGGTCATACCTGGTAAAGATCAAGTGGGCAGCTGTCCAGTTCATACCGTGGGCAGAATTCTAAGATGGCCCTCAAGTCCCCTTCACGCCAGTGTACACATCCTCTATAATCCCCTTCCCTTGAGTGTGGGCAGGGTGAGTGAATGTGATGGGACATCACTCTGATGATTAGGTTGCCATTTGGTTGCTTTTGAGTTAATAAAAAGACACGTCATCCAGGGTGGGTCTGAGCTAGTCAGGTCCGCCCTATAAATGAAGCTGAAGCCCCAGACAGACACTGTCCTGTTGGCCTTGAAGGACTGAGCTATCCGGTGATGAAAAGGGCCTCGTGCCAGGGGACAGCAGGCAACCTCTGGTGACTGAGGGCCTAAGTCCTGTGATTACAGGAGCTGAACTGTGCCAACAAGAGTGAGCTCAAAGGAGGACCCCACACCTTAGATGATATTGCAGCCCTGAGTGCCATCTTGGTTTCAGCCTGGTGAGATCCTGAGCAGATAACCCAGATGAGCCGTGCCCAGACTAGATTCACAGAGCGACATGAGAAATAAACAGGTGCTGCTTTAAGTGGCTGGATGTGTGGTAATGTGCTGCACAGCAGTAGATGAGGAATACACTTGGTGTGGTTTAGAGCACCTTGAAGACCCCTCCAATAGGGGGATTGTGATAGCACTGGGAGCTTCCTCCTGCTCAGGGCCTTGTCCCTTATGGAATGCAAGTAGCTTTGAGAGAAGCCATATAGGAAGCCTTAGTCGCCATTTACACATGAATCTGCATGAGTTCCAACTGTCTCCGAGGGTACAGTTGGATGCTGGGGGAGACAGAATGATGTCCCCAGGTTTGGGAATGGGGAAGGCACTGAATGGCCAGGCTGGAAGCACTGAAGACAAGCCCTGAGGATGCTGAGGATGCCCCGTTTTACCTGGGATTGCCTTTGTGGATTGGGGTTGTATCCTCAAGGTCTCTTGAGCTAAGAGGGTACCGCTGCTAGCCTGGTAGTGGGGCACCCATCACGCCCTGCAGGAAGGGAGCAGAGGGCACGGCTGGGCTGTGGGAGGCAGGCATTCATTCTGGCTGCAGCCTTTGGGGGCTCCAGGGGAGCAGGAAGCAGGTGAAGTATTGTGCTGAGGGATGAAGTGTGGCCTTTCTATCTGTCCCCCTCCCGACCCACGATCCCTGGAGAACACGGGAGTGACGTCGTCGTTCTTGCCTTCAGTCATTCATCTTAGCGCACCCATCCCGATTCTTCGTTCGGGGAGGACGCCATGTGTACCTGGCATGTCTGGTTGTGAATAGGACATAATTTCAGGGACTGGGAACACTCTTACTTCCCAGACTTCTCTGACGGCTGATCTGAGTCTAAGATGCCACCATTTAAGCCCATCACCTTCTCACAGGCCTTGTCCCTTACTGACAGGCAGAGCCTCTGGGGGCGTGGCTCAGTCATACCTTCCCTGTCCTTTCCTGAGAAGTTTCAATAGGGAGGAAAAGTGAGAGCGTAGCAACCTGAGAGGAGAAAGCTCGTGGAGAGGAGGGCAGAGCCAGGGGGAGGCACACTGGCGCCCTGACAGAAGCTTTCCTGGGATCAGATCTGCCCAGGGGAGGTGCCATGCCCCCGAGCCCGCCCCACCCAGCTCTGCCTGGTTGGACAGCTCCCACCATAAGAACAGAGGTGACTCAAATTGGGGAACTCTTGGCAGTGGTGGCCTGGAGGGACCCCCCTTCTTGAGACACCCACTCAACTTTTTAGCAAAGCCACATTTACTGAGCAGCTGACTATGTCCTGGGAACACACAGATGGTCCAACCCAGATCCCAACCCTTCTGATGTTCCCAGGGAAAAAAACCAACACAGAGACGTGGCTGCTGGGGAGGAGTGGGGAAACACGAGGAGCTGTGAGGTGTTTTTAGCATTTCTGTTTTTCGTTGTTTATTATTTTTAAAGTGTGCACAAAAGTAGAAACAACAGTGTTATGAACTCCCCCCAGCTATCATCCAGCTGTAACCATTTTATTAATATTTATTAATGTTAATATTGTGTCATCTAATCTAACTCTTCCACATTTTTTGACAGAATATTTTAACACATATTCAAGGTGTCATGCATTTTACCCATAAATACTTGGTACAGTCATAGCTCACTGTAACCTCCAACTCCTTGGGCTCAAGCAATCCTCCTACCTCAGCCTTCCCAGTAGCTGAAGACCACAGGCGCACACCAGGACACCCAGTTAATTTTATGTTTTTTTGTTTGTTTGTTTGTTTGTTCGTTTGTTTTAGAGAGAGACAAGGTCTAGCTGTGTTGCCCAGCCTGGTCTCAAACTCCTAATCTCAATCTTCTCTCCTTAGCCTCCCAAGATGCTGGGACTGAAGGCCTGAGCTCCTGTGCCCGTCCATGAGCATTTTGTAATACCCGTCACAGCATCAAAATCTGTCCACGATACACAGCACCTCCCTCCTGGCCCTTGGGACATTACCAGTCCCCAGAACGGACCCCTCCATCCTACACCTCTAGGAGTCTTGCCGTGTGGCCGTGACGTGCTATGCGGTTCGGACTTGAGCTGCCCAGGAGCCCCCCACTGTCCATTCCTGGGCCCCACCCAAGTTTGGCCGGGTGACTCCACCACTCCTCAGAGGGGTTGACCACCTCTCCCCTCTGAGTCCTTCCTCCTCTCTGTCCTTGTCCTTGCAGATTGAAATGCTAGAACATAAGTACGGGGGTCACCTGGTGTCCCGGCGCGCCGCTTGCACCATCCAAACCGCCTTCCGCCAATACCAGCTCAGCAAGAACTTTGAGAAAATCCGCAACTCGCTTCTGGAGAGCCGCCTGCCACGGCGGATCTCCCTGCGCAAGGTGCGCGCACCCACGGCCGAGAGCCTGGCGGCCGAGAAAGCGCTCATGGAGGGCTACGGCCTCATGGGGCTGCCGCTGGTGCGCGCGCCCTCCCTGCCGCCCACCTTCGCGGGCACCCTCACCGAGCTGGAGGACTCCTTCACCGAGCAGGTGCAGTCCCTGGCCAAGTCCATCGACGACGCGCTCAGCACTTGGAGCCTCAAGACCATGTGCTCCCTGCAGGAGACCGGCGCTTACCAGCTCCACCAGGCCCTGCAGGCGGCCGCGGGGCCCCCCGGCCTGGAGGCCGAGATGCGGGAGCCGGAGAGCGCAGGCCCCGGGCCCGGGGATGAGGCCGCGGAGACCCCCGGGCTGCCCCCGGGCCACAGCGGCACCCTCATGATGGCTTTCCGGGACGTCACGGTGCAGATCGCCAACCAGAACATCTCCGTGTCCTCCGCCACGGCTCTGTCCGTGGCCAACTGCCGGGGCGCCCAGACGGCCCAGGCCACAGCGGAGCCCGCGGCGGGCAAGGCCGAGCAGGGCGGGACCCCCGGGCGGGAGGCCGCGGAAGCCCCCGCAGTGGGCCGGGGGGACGCGTCCGCGGAGGACTCATGCGCAGAGGCTGGGGCTGGGGGGGCGGTGGATGAAGCCACAGCAGCCAAAGCAGAGGAGGAGGAGGAGGAGGAGGAGGAGGAGGCAGCAGACGTGGGGAAAGGGGCCGAGGCTGAGGCAGGCGACTTGGAGCAGCTGAGCAGCAGCAGCACGTCCACCAAGTCCGCCAAGTCAGGCTCGGAGGTGTCGGCCTCCGCCTCCAAGGACGCCCTGCAGGCCATGATCCTGAGCCTGCCGCGCTACCACTGCGAGAACCCCGCCAGCTGCAAGTCGCCCACGCTCTCCACCGACACCCTGCGCAAGCGACTCTACCGCATCGGCCTCAACCTGTTCAACATGTAAGTCCGCCCTGGCCCCCAGCCCGGAGTGCTGGGAGGGACGGAAGGAGGAGGGACACCTCCCCTCCACCAAGCAGGGCACCAGGTGACTGCCCACGTCATCCCAGGGCCCTCCAGGCGCATCTGTGCCTTGCCTGATCCCTGGGGTCATGTTTAGGAAGTACGCATTTTATTTTTAATCATTCTGAGTTTATTTTAAGAGAGATTAGAGGGAAAAAATAACACATCAAACACATGCTTTCACAACTGTTACAGTTTAAGATGAAGCTTGGGTTTGAAAAGTAAGAGAATGTAAAAGAAAAGACAGTATTAAGTAAATAACAGTCCAGGCGGCTTGAGGATTAAGCAGCAATCATTGGGGTGGAATATGAAGCCAGGGAAAACGCATTAGCTCCCAGCGTTGATGAAATGCGGGGCTGGGTGGGGGAGGGAGGAGAGGCGCCTTGTAAGGAATGCGGCAGAGAGCAGGAGAGGGGAGGGCTACCAGGAAGAGAGAGTGTGAAGCAGGCAGAGGCAGAGTAGAAAGAGAACAGGGGAGAAATGACCGACTGCCATAGCTCAGAGACCCCAGTGAGACCCGGACTGGTCCTGCAGGGAATGTATACAGCCAGTCCCAAGCAGAGGAAAGGAAGCACACCTGCCCCTCCCATGGAAAGTCAAGTCCATGAGGCACTCGCCTCCATCCTCCACTCGCCCCTTCGTAACCCCAAGCCAAGAGCATCTCTCTCTGGCCCTAATGCATGTTCATCCATTCATTTGGCTGTTATGTATCGGGTGCCAGGCACTGTGACCACAGAGGGGAGTAGGACACATCCCCTGGCCTCAAGAGGTCTCTATTCTAGAGGAAGTAGCCACTGTTCATAGCTCACCTTACATAAAGCATCTATAATCCTCCCAGCAGTATCTACACAGAGGTGCCACCGTGCTGTTTTACAGAAAAGGAAGCCGGCTCACACCAGTACGGCGAGTTGCCCACGATGAAAGAGCTAGTACTCGGCAGACCTAGGGGAAGGCGGATCTGATGCTAAACCACGCCCACTTCCACAGTGTCACTTCTTCACGCACATGAAAACTCACACAGATACTCGTCTCCCCCAAGGCAGTAATTCTTAAACTATCCATAGTGAAGGGCCAGTTTTGTTCCCCCACACCCTTCTGAAAATACATTGTGGGCTAATACTTTTGTAAAATACAATAAAAATGAGTTGCTAGAAAAACAGTCACATGCCTGCTTGTCCCGGAAATGTTGAAATGCTATGGAAGGTTCTGAGTGCTTACCTTGTGTTTCTGCACTTACCTCCTCCTGGACCTGTGAGAAACAGCTCAGGGAGGAGCATGGCTTCAAAGCTTGCAAAGGAAAGAGGGGGTGTGGCAGAGGTCCCACCTCTGTTTCTCCCACCTTCTCTCCAGGTTGGGGCATCTGCGGTGGGGACCTGCATATTGACAACAGGATATGGGTAGGGGGAAGGGCAGGCCTGGGGTAAGACCCAGGAGGCAGGGACAGGGAAGGGTCCTTCTCCACCTGCTCTGGAATTCACTTTGTTTGCAGACCTCCCCTGTCCTCCTCCTGGTCACACACCATCCTCTGCATGAGGACATTCAGTGGGTGGAAGCTGTGGTGAGAGGTGCTTCCAATGGGAAACTGGATTTCCAAGGAACCTCTGGGCACTTCCATGGGTGGAAGACAGGGAGGAAAGAGTCATGGATGGCTTCAGCTCACTCTCTACTGCTTCTCCCGGCTCTCCCCACCTCCAGAAACCCGGACAAGGGCATCCAGTTCCTGATCTCCCGCGGCTTCATCCCTGACACCCCCATTGGTGTGGCCCATTTCCTCCTCCAGCGAAAGGGCCTCAGCCGCCAGATGATTGGCGAGTTCCTGGGCAACAGCAAGAAGCAGTTCAACCGCGACGTGCTGGAGTGAGTACCCCGCGCTCCGGGCTCCCCCGACTCCTTCCCACACCCCACCTGCCCGGGCTGTCTCCGTGAGCTCCCTGGTGAAATCCTCGCTCCAGTTCTAACAGCTTCCAGCTTCCAGATTGTCCACAGGAACCAGAATCCCCTCTTTAGCCCGTCGCCCCAGTGGGCCGGAGCCCTGTCTGCCGTCAGAGTCACTGATGGAGTTCGCTTCAGGCCCGGCTCCATTTGAGGCGCCAGGGATACAGAAATGGTCCAAGGAGACAAAGAGCCCTTTGTGTGTGCCACCCTCCAGGGCAGGAGAAACCAGGAAAAGGAAGGGGCCCGTGTCAGCACTGGGGTTCATCTCTGCCTGGTGAAGAGCCCCTCGGCCCCCCTCCCCCAGGACCCACCCATTCTCCAAGGTTCATTTTCATATCGCTGGAGGCAAAAATGTGAGGCAGAAAGAAGAAGGGGTTAGACTGAGGGTTTTAGAGCAAGAAAATACTACAATTCCATAAAGATAAGTCAACCGACAAAATCATGACCAAAGAAAAACTGTTCGTTTAAAACCAAAATAAATGGTTTTAAAGTCCAGTCGCAGGGTGGGGACCCCAAGGGGGCTGCCTTTGCCCCCGCTCAGCCTTGATAGTGTGGACAGGCAAGAGTCTCTTCACACTCACACCTTGTCCAGAATGGCAGGGCAGGGCTGGCGCTCCTCTGAGGCTGAGGGGCAGGGCCTTGCAGCTACTCCTTCCCTGGGACATCGGCTCCAGCCCCTGCCATGCCCCCCTGCTCTTTCTGGCTTCCACTAGTCCCCTAGGTTGGCCTCCTTCTTGAAGGTCACCATTCTTCAGGGACCCTCCCCCATTTATATCTCCTCTTTCTCCTTGGGGATGGTCAGCAGAAGTGTCCCCCGGAGGCCCTGGGAGGAGCTCTCCCTTTCATACTGGCCCCTGGAGCAGCAAGGGCCTGCCAGAGAGGGTTTGGACGCTGAGGGAGTCACCCACCCAGTGGTCAGCACCCCTGGAGTGGGAGTTCAGAGATTTAGCTTCTATTGATGGAGCTGCCTTGGTGCCGTGTGCCCACGTGGAGAAGCCCCTGTCCTCTGGGCCTGCGTTTCCTTGCCTGCAGAGAGGTGCTGGGTTGTAAGGGCTGGACCCATTGCCCTCTGAAATCCCTGTCACATTTCTAAATCCACTGATGTGGTGGTGATCTGACTGAGTTCAATGAGTGAGGGCTGGGATCCGCTCAGGGACCTTGAAATCCCTGCACGGCCCTCAGCTGGGCAGAACTGAGCTCCTGCCCCGACTCTTGGTGGCTTTTGACAATTTATCATCCCTCCTGGAGCTGCTGGTGGAGACCCTCTGCGGGCCTCAAAGAGGAGAGAGAGCCAATGCTAGGCAGTGTCTCCCTCTCACCTCCTTTCTCTTCTCCCTCAGGCTTCCCTTCCCCTCCCCAGCACTGCTGTGGGGGCCCATGGAGGTGATACTGGGATCCAGGATACACCTAGGTTACAGGGAAAGACGGCATTTCCTCACACCCTTCCTTTTCTGTGTCCCCTGGTCGGCTCAGCTCTCTGGCTTTCATACGCTGTTGTCCCAGTCCCTTCCTCCCCAAGCCAGGGTGAGGTGCTGGCCCCGTCGCCCCAGGAACCCCTCCTGTGTGTCTCTGCTCTGGGGGCAGGAGTGACTCTGCTTCACCCACAGGCCCTGACTGTTGTCCGTTTCCTTCTGTCTTTCCCAGTCTCCATGTGGCCTGCACCCTAAATTCTAACCTGCGAGGCCCACATTGATCTGGAGTGTGCGGAACGCAGTGTTTTCCTGCAGCGCAGGTGGTGCTGAGTGGCACAGTGAAAACTAATTGCCGTCCTCCCTGGAAGGCTGGGTGTATGGGCTGTGGGCTGGAGGCCGGGAGCAGTGGCTGCAGCCTGTGCTGAGGAGAGGAGCCCGGCTGGGGGCTGGGCTAAGCCCCTGAGGCAGGGATCAGCCTCGGGATGGGTAGGGGCCAGACTCCCGCCTTGGTACACTCTTCCAGTGAGAAGAGGCAGGGTGGTGAGATCGGAGGAATAGCTGGACCCAGGCTCTGCTCCTCTGTGCTGTGTGGCTTTGACAGGTCACCTCTCTGGGCCTCGGTGTCCTCATCTGTAAAATGAGAGGGTTGGGCAATGTGATTGCAAAGGTTTCTCCAAGTCCTGAGACTCTACCACCTTTCCCATCTCTTAGTGCCTTGGTAGCACTGCCTTAAACACTGGGGCATGCTTTGTCATCCTGCCAGAGCAGCCTGCAGGCCCCAGGGCAGTGCTGGGGTGCCAGGGCTCATGGGGCAATGAGTTGGCCGTTTATTATTCAACAAACATCAAGCACTTATTTATTGTGTGTTGAGAATGGGGCCACGCTGGGCACCCGTGTGTGTGTGTGTGTGTGTGTGTGAAGAAGCATGGCTCACAGTCTCAGGGAACTTACAGACCTAGGTGTGGATGGGGAGAGGTGAGGAGGAGGAGCATGAAAAGAGAGTGAGAAGACCAAGGGGCCTCCAGCCAGAACCCTGGCTTGGGCCGGGCTGAGTGCAGAGCTGAGCCCCGATGTGCCCTGATGAAAGCCGCAATCCCTCATGCTTGACTGTGTCGCCATGCAGGCCTGGGCCCAGAGGCCCTGGCATGCTGACTCAGTGCCACAGAAAGGAGCCCTTCCCCAAAGTCCATAGGTCACCGACCGCCTCACTTCTGTCCTGCAAAGGGCAGGGAGAAGATGGAGAAGCAGGAAGTGGCAGGCACTGGCAGCGGAGGTGGGCGCTGGAGTCTCTGCATTTCCCTGCCACTCTGGCCAGCCAGTCTGGATTTCAGAATCACTGTCTCTTCCTTACTCCCGCCAGAGAAAACGCACACACTAACCAAGTCACCAGGTGCCATTTTGCCCAGGCCTGGAAGGCTTCATTGGGATTCTGTGCGGCTCCCCTGTCCCCGCCTGGTGACATTTAGCAAGTGGCGTTCGTTCTGTACAAAGCTGTTTGCTGTATAAAAGGACATAAATCACTCATCCCCTTGGAGACTGAAACAGCCCAAACCACAGCACTCTCCCAGGCCGCAGCCGCTGAGAAAGCCTCTCCGGGGAAGGGTGCGCTTCCCAACTCTCAGGCCTGCGGGGAAAGGAAGAGGAGGGAGGGAGCAGCTGCCAGCTCGGCTGCTGGTCTGTCTGAGCATCATGAATGCTGTGACATTTGCTTTCAGAATTCGGCCCGCAGCGCTCTTGGAAGCTGACATCTCCATCCTTTTGTGTCTCATTTCCACAGAAGACACATTCCAAGAAGGAATGTATTCTTACCAGGCCTTATCAGATGATGATAACAGAAGGCGTTCCGAGCTCAAAGAGCCACACCCACTCCAGTGTTCACCTGCGAAGGTTTTGCTTTTGGTTTTTTTGAGACGGAGTCTTGCCCTGTTGTCCAGGCTGGAGTGCGGTGGTGCAATCATGGTTCACTGCAGCCTTAAACTCCTAGGCTCAAGAGAACCTCGCACCACGGCCTCCTGAATAGCTGGCACCACTGGCATGTGCCACCACACCTGGCTAATTTTTAAATATTTTTGTAGCGATGGGGGTCTCACTATGTTGCCCAGGCTGGTCTCAAACTCCCAGCCTCACACAGTGCTCCCATCTCAGTCTCCCAAAATGCTGGGATTACGGGCATGAGCCACTACACTCAGCCTGTTTGTTGTTAAAGGAGAAATCAGCCTCAGTTTCCTCATTAGTAAAATGCTGGTAAGAGTACCTGTCTCAAGTGAATTAAATGTTTTCAATGTACATGAAGTGCCTGACGCTTAGTAAGTTATCTGTAAATGTTAGCTCTTTCTTTTCTTTTCTTTTTTTTTTATTAGAGACAGGATCTCTCTTTGTCACCAGGGCTACTGGGCAGTGGCATGATCAAAGCTCACTGCAGCTTGAACTCCTGGGCCCAAGTGCTCCTCAAACCTCAGCCTCCTGAGTAGCTGGGACTACAGGCTAAATGTTAGCTATTTCATTATTATCTTTCCTACTTGAAAGCACAGACATTAGAACGCCCCCACCCCGCCGTCCCATTCCCCACGCACAAGGAACCCTCAAACGTGACTCAAACTCAGGTCTACTAGGCAGACAACGAGAACTTGCTGGAACTTCCTGGGCTTTGCTGGGAAGGGGGTCAGCCCAGTCTGGGGAGCAGCCTGCAGCCTGAGGAAGCCCGGTCCAGAAGCTGAGAGTCGTGCGGTGGCAGGCCAGCAGCAGCAGCCAGACAGCAGCCAGGGTTAGGGTCCTCTAGGGCTGGAGCCTGTCTCTCTGCGTTTTCACATGGCTGGGGAATTTGGCTCTGCTCTATTTCCTTTCTGAAATGTCCGCTTCAGCAGGTTTGAAGGCCAGTGGATGGGGAACGTTGCATGCCGGCTGTGAGCGGCCTCTTTGTGGCCTGGATGATTTTTCCGGCGTGAACCCCGTGCACATGGAGGGCACTGGTGTCTACCATCTCCATGAAATGCAGGAAGGCAGCTTCTGGGGTGAGCTGCCGGAAGAAAGCTTCCTGCGTGTTCTTCCCCCCACTGCATCTGCTCCATCCTTTGTTAAATTCCAAGACATATCAGGGTTTGACGTTTGGGTCAGATTTCATTATTTTATTTCCATGGAAATATGTTGGCCAGAGTATAACAGATTTGTTCTTCTTAGAGGACATTTAGAAATGAAAACAGATTGTCTGTCACATTCAACAGTCTGGAAGGCTCTGGCCTTTCATTGCTAGGAAGAAATCATTTGAGAACATCCTGCCCACACTGCTGTGTGTAATCTCAGTCACCTTGTTCCTGAGGAATTCCTATGAGGAAGGGGAGAGCAGGCCCAGGCGGACCTTACGTGTCTGGAGGAGAGAAAAAGAGGCCCAGGCAAGCATTGTGGCTCACGCCTGTGGTCCCAGCACTTTGGGAGGTCAAGGCATCAGAATCACTTGAATCTAGGAGGTTAGGGCTACTGTGAGCTGTTAGGGCACCACCGCACTCCAGCCTG